ACTTCTTGGGTGGCCTTCTATTGAGGGTCAATTTTTGGCCAACTATTAATAATACTACTTTTAAAATTTCAGTAATTAATTAATTATTAATTAATTTTTTTAATTCACTTTTCAATGAATAAGTTCACATGCAGTTTTTGTGGGGACAGCTCACAAAGTTCAAAGATAGCTCTCAGATGCCGGGCTATTGGACCTAAACGGTAAGTATTTTCGAGCTTGTTCTTGTAGCACTCAGACAAGCTTCAGCGGTGCTTTTATTTGCTACAAATTTGTAGGATTTCATTTTGTTTTGGGTTCGCTGTGACCGTTGCAAAAAGTACAGTTTTGGTTCAAAACAATGGGCTCCCCAAACGAAAATTCTTTTACACGTTGAAGATAAAAGCTGGATTTCAGGGAAACAAATACGTAACTTTCGATGCTCTATCTAGCCACGAGGAACAGGGCGCTTCAAGTTCTCTCGTAGTCTCGGAATATTCGGTTAAAAAAACCTGAAAAACCCTAAAACTCAAAACTTATTGCCGAGGAAAAACCGCGTTCAGAATAACTTTTCCAGGGAGCGCCTATGGGCTTTTACATACTTTTAGTAGCTCTACGGAACGTATATAGTCAAACCTTCTCGGCTTTCAGTTGTGTATAAAGTGGGCAGACCTGTTCGGAATGCGCACGAAAAGAAATTATTGTATCTATGGGTGCAATTCGTTCATCACAATTATTACGTCTGTCTGGTGTCGGTAATCAATCAGAAGTTAAAAGTTTAAGCATACCTCTTGTTCATCATCTTCCTGGTGTAGGCGAAAATCTTCAAGATCATCCACTCACAGCATTTACTTTTGGTTCAGTAATTGCTCAAGCTCCAGGATCTATTATTGATCAAGCCGCTTATGACCTTTACAGAGCAAATAAAACTGGTATTCTTGCATCTATTATAGCTCGAACAAATTTTTTCATGCGCACAAAATATCAGCCTATAAATGATACTCGACCTGACGTTCAAGTTATCGTCACTACACCTGGTCCTAGTCTATTTGGGCTTGTATAAGATGTTGGCTCTAGAAGCCTCAAAAATACATCATACATAGGGTATCGGACATGCTGCTTACTGTGGCACCATTTGTTTCATTCATTTGAAGAAACTGTCAAAGACGAATTTTTCGGAAAATACGGTGTTTCCACTGTGACCATACTAAAATAAAAACATTATAGCACCTTCATTTGGCAACCAAATTCCTTTAAACCTTCAGAATCCACTCACTTTGAAGTGTTTCATGACACCAAGCGGACAAAAGTGCAGAATACTATATAGTATTGAAAGATTTTCTAGAAGACCACCGAAGATGTTCAGGTGAAATCTCAGTATGAAAAGAAATTTTAACCTTCCTGAATTGTGCAGCAGGCGAAACTGAGTGGATTCTGAAAATTTATATTACCATTGATTTTGTCAAACGAAAATCCACTTAAAAGTACGGTTATGCTTTAAATTAATTATTCTTCTACTATTGAAAAGATTTATAAGAAGACTGGAAATACCATGCAATTATACAATGGACAGGTTTAACGAAAAATATACCATGGTATGCATTAATGCTTCTCGAAGTGGGTGTGATGTTTAAATAATTAATTTGCGTAAATGTTTGAATAATTCACAAATGGTATGAATTGTCGTAGGTCTCGTCGTAGCCAATGCATTCGAAGTGAGTAAGAAGGACTTCGAACAAAAGTTAGTCTGATGAAACAACACTCTTCGCTAGTGAAACCTATTTCAGAAACACTAGCATTAATATTTTATGTTTTTGATCGAATATGTGTTCCATTTTATTGGTTTTAAGAAATGAAAATTATCCGATTCTGCTGCTAAAGTTTTACAGTTTATCACTGAAATCCCAAGAACAGCTGCAATACTAGCGATCATTGTAATTACTAGTCTCTTCACATAAGTAACGTCAAATTTAAGTACAGATAAAATAGAGCATGTTAAATTGATTCAAGAACCATATGAGTCATAACAAAAGTGCTTAATAAAATAAACAAAAGGCAACTCAACACATTTGAAAACAAAAATTGTCAATTCAATTATTGTCCATCCAATCGTACACGGATGTTTTTCTTTTGAATGGTGAAAGTTAGAGGTGAGTTTTTCAAATATGGAAAGAGAAGATCTGGGAGCATCCTTTTACAATAGGAAAGCTTTTTAATAAGTTTTTAGGAAACCAGTTTTTCGGAGGATCTTTGGAAAACTTGTGTATAACGGAAAAATCTGCAATACAAAACTATTACTTTTTTCACATCAGCAGATAGAGGAAAGTGTGCTGTACAAAATGACATCTAAGCAAAAAGAATTTTGAAGAAACCGAGAACCTATGTGTTCATGCAAATCTTCAGAAATTCATGTACACATAGGTTCTCGGCCACACCGAATCTCGTGGCAATGTTAGTTCTCAGAACAAAATGAAAGAACCCAGTAAAAATCTATACTAGTTCAACTAACCCATTTTTGACTATTTTCGTCAGAAATTAAAAGATTCATAACTCAGTCAAAATCTATCCAACCTACTTCAGAATGCTCAAGTCTACACTGTTTTATTTGTAATATACTGGAACGCTCAATCAATGTCTCAAAAACCAACAGAAAATACTTTGATTTTAGAAAGCTTTCTCAGAAACCTTCGGAACTAAGAGAATACTTCTTTTTACTCTTAGGTACAGAACTAGATTGAGCGGATGAAGCTGATATATCTTGATATTCTGAAGTAATTTCTGACGAAAATAGTCAAAAATGGGTTAGTTGAACTAGTATAGATTTTTACTGGGTTCTTTCATTTTGTTCTGAGAACTAACATTGCCACGAGATTCGGTGTGGCCGAGAACCTATGTGTTCATGCATTTCTGAAGGTCGCAGATCGAAGAATAGAGAAGTCCTAGTGCTTCGGAAAAAACGTCCGTACATGCCGAACAGAACAAAAGAAAACTTTTGCTTACACTCTAAAAAAAAGGTGTTCTTCAGTTTTTCAAAGAACTGAAAAAGCAATGGGAATGTTGTTCTTCATTGTCCCAAATAGAGAACTCAAATTGTATTCTTCAGCTCTCAAGAACTCAAAATTTGTTCTTCAATCTACAAAGAACAAAACAAATCAGTTTTTCAAAATTGAAGAACAAATTTTGAGTTCTTGAGAGCTGAAGAACAGAATTTGAGTTCTCTATTTGGGACAACGAAGAACAAAATTCCCATTGATTTTTCAGTTCTTTGAAAAACTGAAGAACACCTTCTTTTTATAGTGTAGATGTCATTTTGTACAGCACACTTTCCTCTATCTGCTGATGTGAAAAAAGTAATAGTTTTGTATTACAAATTTTTCTGTTACATACTTATATCTCCAATTACTACCATTTCAGAAATGAATGTTATCGGTTAGTTATCGAATATCGAGAAAGAAAGTTTTGGTCCCGGATGGTCCTTTTAATTTATTAAGATATTCTCATAAATTAGATTTGTGCAGAATAGTAAGGCATTCGAACGTATAAAAGGAGACAATTTCGCGGCTCTAATGCGTTCTCACACCTTAGAGGTCCCAAAGCTCGCAGGTCGAATGTAGTCTTCGAAGGTGTTTAGTGCGCTAAATCACTAATACAGCAGGACGAATAGCTTCGAACACGTTATTTAGCCGTAAAACGGGTCCAGTTAAGGCTACATCCCGAGAGTCACGAACAGCAAAGCGATCTTACACCAAGGATATTCACAATTGTTATAAAACCATCAACCTTTGATACATTTCTCACTTCTGTGCATTTTTATTTCTAGATCTTTGCACGGTAAACATCGATTGAGAGAAAGAACATAGGAAAAGTCCTTAGATATAGTGCATTTTTTGAGAAAGAAGACCTTTTTTGATCTACACAAAATGCCTGAAGAAACTGTACGATAGTAAAATTTCTATTTAGGGGTTTATATTCTCTCATCCACTGGAACTGCTGTGCACCTACTTTGCAAGTTAGTTACTATTTTCCTTTGATTTAACTCTGCTTTGAAACACTTAAAGAAGCAGATATTAACTAAGTAGGAGTAAGAAATAAATGCCTGATATAACAGACTGCTTTTTCGTCTCGTTCAAAATGAGAAGAAAAGCTTTGTATCGGTGGAAGAAAATCTTAGAAAAGTGTGGTAGGGTAGATTTATAGCGAGAGCACATGCATCTCTAAAAACATTTCTTTCTCAGTTGAAGAAAACAGAAGGAGCAGATATTCCCTTGACTGTAAAGGAAAGGGTCTTATCGAGTTAAAATGCCTGTATGTATGTTTGTATGTTTGTCCGCAGACTAGATACTAGCGACAGACAAACTATCGAAAACTCGAAAACACCATTTACACTTGAATGGATGAAAATGATGTGGAGTAGATAGTCGACTATGATAAATCAGAAAATGAGTATGAGCGACCTCTGCGATCAGTTTTGTTGGTCGAAATGTTTTTCTCAGCTTCGCTGAACGAAAATGATAGGGAGTAGGTAGTCGACTATGGGGAATCGGAAAATGCGTATGAGCGACCTCTAAGGTGAATCATATCGGTCGAAAACATCTTTTCCACTTGAATGAATGAAAATAATCTGGAATAGGTAGTCAAATATAGGGAAGCAGTGTGTCTGTCCGTCGAAACACCTAGTATTGGTGTGGATTATCTAATAGATAAGTGGCGTGACTACTAGATAGGTAGAGTGATGGATGCTGGTACGTAGCAGCATAAAAAATTAGTTTGGCGGACGTACATACATACATTTATGTATTGTCCTGTAGCGAACGCCGACCGAAGGGAGGCGAGAGCATTGTATTTGACACATAGGCCACGTTCACAGTACAAGAGTTAAATGAGCTAAGACGAAGCTGATTGGTCACAAAGTTAGCTCTGAATTAAGTGCTGTTTCGGACATCATTTAACTTTAACTCTCCGGTCATAAATGAGCTCATTACCCAATAATATGGTTCCATTAAACAACGAAGGCAGCGCCAGTTCTGTGGGAAAACAAACATCTGAGTCTCTACTCAAGTTTGCTGTTTGAGCTTAGAAAGTCAACTGTAGAGCGTAAATTGAAACCGACAAATCGAAATATAAAATCGTATTGGTGTATTAAAGGTTTAGATGAGAACGTTCTCGAAGTTAACTTCGAGTTAACTCTGAGAAATTTGTAGTGTGAATGTAGCCATAGTCATCGAAGGTCGCCAGATATAAGTTCCTCAACTCACGGGACCGAGCGAATGCAGACGAGTCGACTACGGGAAATCCGGATATGACTGTGAGTGACCTCTACGGTCGATTCTGTTGGTCGAAGTCTTCATTGCAACTTGATAGGATAAAAATGGTATTCCTTGAGTGTACAGGAAAGAGTCTTCTCGAGTTAAAATGTCTTTATGTTTTTATGTATGTCCGCAGCCTAGATACTAGCGACACACACAAATTATTAGCGGATAGATGGACACACTTATCTGCATCCTAACACACGAGAGTAGTGAGCACATTGGGTATTGTGTGCGCAGGGGACTTCTGAGCAACGAAAAAGGGAAAAAGAGAGTAAGTGTGGGGAAACTGGTAAATTGAACTTGAACTTGAACTTATTCATTGAAAAGTGAATTAAAAAAATTAATTAATAATTAATTAATTACTGAAATTTTAAAAGTAGTATTATTAATAGTTGGCCAAAAATTGACCCTCAATAGAAGGCCACCCAAGAAGTAGCGATGTGCCGAGACACTGTATAAGGGCATGGTCTTTTATTCTGGCGGGAGGGTTTACAGGATCATATGGTGATTTTTTACTTCGGGTAGCAATTACAGTTTTTTTTCTGACGGTAGGTAAAAACGCCATATATTTGAATGGGCCTGCGATAAATAGAAACAAGAAATAGCTTGACTGCTATATTTGAGAACAGTTCCCATTTATGGCAGGCCATTCAGTTTGCTGTGCGGCGTAGATGAAGGTGGAAACTTTATCTGTTTTCAATAAAAATAGGACCATTCGATTCCTCGTGATCAGAGTAACATTTCTATA